TGATGAAGAGGCCAATGATGGATTGCAGCCAAAGATATGAAAATGTGAACAAAAGTCATTTTGGCCACAGGAGAGAAGGTATCTACATAGTCCAAGCCATAAACTTGTGAGAAACCCTTTGCCACCAAACGAGCTTTTAATCTAGCGAGAGACCCATCAGGACTGAGCTTAATAGTATACACTCATTTGAAGTCAACTGCGATTTTGTCAGGTGGTAAAGGAACCAAATCATGTCTCATTTTTAGTAAGGGCAGTCATTTCCTCCTGCATTGCCTGAGTCCAACCTGGAATAGATAGAGCTTCTGACACATTTTTAGGAACCGAATATGAGTCCAAAGAAGAAATAAAAGATCGAAAAGAAGAAGAGAGATAAGAGTAAAAAACAAAATTAGAGACAGGATGATGAGTACAAGACCGTTTACTCTTACGAAGAGCAATAGGGCGATCAAGATCTGAATCAGGAGGAGCGAGAGGACTAGAGCTAAGCACGGGACTTGATTTCAAGGATAGCATTAGCATAGGAGCATGAGTGGTGCGACGTGTATAGACCTGTAATGGATCCTGAAATCTCAGTGGGTTCTTACCAATATCGTTCATTAGTGGCACAGTACCATTAGGTATGAAGGTATCATGTAGGAGCAGGTAGTCATAGTCATCAATAGATGAAGAAGGGGAAGATGAAGAGTGACCAGGTAGGTGTTCAAAGAAGGTAACGTCACCAAAGATGAGATAGCGGTTGAGAGAGAGACAGAAACATTTGTAACCTTTTTGAGTTCGAGAATAGCCAAGAAAAATGTCTTTGATTTATTGAGGATCAAGTTTAGTTTTCGTAGGACTTTGGTTATGAACAAAGAATAGAGAGCTAAAATTTTTTAGGGGTAATGGGAATAGGTCAGAAGTAGAATATAAGACACTATAGGGAATCTTATTGTGTAATACAGAGGATGGCATTTGATTAATTAAATAGCAGGTAGTTAAAACAGCTTCCCCCCAAAATTCTTTTGGAACAGGTCGATGAAATAATAAGGACCGAGCAGTATCAAGAAGATGTCTATTCTAACGTTCAACAACCCTATTTTGTTGAGGAGTGTAAACGCAAGAGGATTGATGTAAAATACCATGATGAGCAAGAAAATTAGCAAATGAGGTTTCCAAATATTCTTTTGCGTTATCTTGAAAATAGAGAACACTTCAGACCGAGATTTCAAAAGATAAATCCATGTAACACGTGAAAAATCATCCACAAAGCTAACAAAATATTTAAATCCCATTTTCAAAGTTATTGGACATGAACCCCATACATCAGAATGAACCAAATCAAATGGCTTAGTAACTCGGTTATTGACTCGATTAGGAAATGACACACGATGGTGTTTTCCAAATTGATATGATTCACAATCTAAGGTGGAAATACTCTTTAAAGAGGGCATAATCATTTTGAGCACAGGTAGAGATGGATGACCAAACCGACAGTGGTAATCAAGTGCAGATGAAATACTGGTACAAGCCACATGATCCGAAGCCAACTCTAGCTCATACAGACCGTTCCGTTCACGTCCTGTGCTAATCGTCTTCCTCGTTACAAGATCCTGAAATAAACAATGAGTAGGAAAGAATGTCACTGTATAGTTTAAGAGTTTCGTAATTTGACTAACAGATAAAAGATTGTAAGGAAAACGACGCAAATAAAAAACAGATGACAAAGGAAGTTTAGAAGTAGGAATGATCTTGCCAATGCCCTTAACCGCTGTGCACGATCCATCAGCTAGAATGACATAGTTAGAAGCAGGAGAGAAAGATGACAAAATATTACAATAGTAGCTCCTGAATCTATAATCCAGGTATTAGACGAAGACGATGTAAGAGAAGATATACCTTGCGCGGGCAAGAGTAACTGAGAAGGAAGAAGACTGTGCCTGTGAATTCTGGTATTGCTAAAATAACTGGAACTGAAAATTAACGTTGAAGCTGCTCATCATTGAGGACAAATGTAGATTGTTGCTCGGTTTTAATAGACGTGTCCTGAGATGTCTGAGATGTCATATAAGCACCACTTTTTGCCTTTTCCTTCTTAAGTTCTGGGCAGTTGTATTTGATGTAACCAGGCTGATGACAGTAATTACAAGTCATAGAAATATCCCGGGCGGATGTCCTTGGAGAAAACCTCCTCGTCGGCCTTTGTGACCTCTACTGCCAACGTAGCCACCTCTGTTCTCGTGAATACCCACGACCGACAAAATGTCCACCACGGCTAGATGAAAACAAGCCCTGAGTGGCTAGAGTTGATCGTTCCGAGTTGGCTAATGGAGCTGTAGGTGATACAGAATCTAAATTTTTAAGAAAATAATAGGTTTAAGGAAGAGAGCTTACAGAGAAACTACCCATAATCTGGGGCCTGGCCGAGGGATAAAGTGAATCGAGTCCGCCCAAATATGTGAGTACCATCAAATGGTTCCATTGATTCTGCATTTGTTGGACGTCAGAAGTGATTGGAAATATATGTCGAAGTTCCTCAGCGAGACGGTTGAACTCTCCATAATAGTCATCAAATGATGTACCATCCTATTTCTTACGAAACAGCGCCTAAATCACATCATAAGCTCGGGTGATGTTGCTGCTTTTGCCATAAAGAGATTGTAGAAAGTTCCATAGTTCCTTGACAGTAGTGCAATGTAAAACAAGGTCCTGTACCTTTGGCTCCATGATAGCAAGGATCTGATGAAGGAGAACATTATCCTCCAATGTCCAAGCATCTGTCGACGGAATAGGAGGGTCGGACAATAAATGACCGGTCTTGCCACGACTAGCCACATAGATCTCAACAACTCGCTTCCACTGCAGGTAGTTGTTGCCATCTAACTTCCGATTTGTAATTTTTCCAGCAAAGATCTCTGAAACTTTTGTCTGGACCAGTGGTTTTGCAGTCTTGTTCTCATCCGAACTGATCATTATGAAACAGACTAATACAATAGGAACCTTCCTTGAGACAGATGTCAAAACCAATCAGATACACAAATCAAGAGGGCATCTAGATCAGACTAGATCTCCAAACCAGCAAGAGGAGGGCGACAGCATGGAGGTGTGTTGTCAGCAAGTGAGTGAAGGCGGTGAGGTCTGGAGATGGTTTGCGTTGGGATCTGGTCGAGAGCGCTGACGGAAGGTTGAGCGACGGGTAGAAGAAGACGAAGGCGCAAGGCGAGTGAAAGCGGCTGGATGGACAAAGGAAGAAGACGAAGGAAGAAGACGAAGGCTTCGATCGTGGTCGACGGATCTGGATCGTGGAGGCGGGCTTCGATCTTGGTGCGGGCGAGCTTCAATCTGGTCGTTGGAGGAAGGAGACGCGGGATCTGGATTTGGCTGTGATCGGGATTTGGCTGATGGTGACGACTGATTTTTTTTTTGTGGAGGCTAGGGTTAGGGTTTAAAGTTTGCCAACTCTGATACCATGTTAATTAGTACAGAGAGGAATTAGATAAAAGGAGATAATAGCTCTGAAGCCTCTCCTCGTCTATTTATATTAATACAATGATAGCACAGTTATGTTCTTAACAGATGTGGGACTAAACCCAATAGCCTCTTAACAAGCATCAACAAGGTAACAGGGCAAACATGGGAAACGTAATCAGTGATCATGAGAACCTGCATTTACATTAAGCTATTTGATGGGTCAAGACTTCACAATAGGTTTAAACATTAACTGGTAATCTAAAATATTCATGGTTGAAGAAAAAAGTACCCCCATCCTAAATCATATAAGTTAAGCAGGAAGAAAAGATTCCTTATAGACAAGAACAACGTCTAATCAATAAAAATAACTTGGTCGTTAGCCCAGCATCGTATCTCACATGTTCATGCAATATCTCATTGACATGATTCCAAATGCGTTTCAAAATTGTTAAAGTTACAGCAACGATGGATATAGTTCATAATATCACTAATCTTGTGTTTTCCGCTACTGTAATTAATCTTGTGCTTCCGCTACTGTAATTAATCTTGTGCTTTCCGCTACTATAATTAATCTTGTGCTTTACGCTACTGTAATTTGCAGAGCCAGGTTTTTCAGTGCGCCAGCTTAGATGCTTTTAAAACTTGAAGTAATAAACTTTTCTTTTCCACTATGGGATGCAAAAATTGATCCGAAAAAAAATCTAACTAATAAGCAGCATGCAAAATTATATAGATGGTCATACAACATCAGCATGAGCAAATTAACTAAATCTATATGTCCTATCTCAACAACTAGCAAGGTCAACAGAATTTAAACTTTTACAGATAACATCCAAAAGACATTCTTTTCTGAATTAAAAAAATTCTTTTCTGAATATCTAAGTGTTAATTTATCATAAATTGGACGCAGATTATACCTTTCTTCCTCAGATCTCCGTGTTCAATGAATATTTTTGGACAATGAAATTCAACGCCTATCATCAAAAATCTAGTTGCTAGGCTGTTATTGTCTCCTAAATGTGAGTTTCTAGCTTATCTACGATTAGACAATGTCCAAGAAGGATAGATGAAAGATTAAGAATACTTCTTCTCTTTCTCATCCAAACTAGCAGCCAAATATCAAAAACAACTCCATAAACATACTCGAGTCAATAATGGCCCTATCCATCAACACAGCCATTGCACTTTCACATCCTAACTCAGATTCTATCTGAAAATCTGGTGATCCTTGCCTCACGTGTAGAATGAAGTGGAACAACCGGTAAAAAAAATAATTAAGCTCTGACACCAAATGGTGAAAGAGGTCTGCAATTCTTAACCACGTCAATTACAACAGTGTTAGATCATTCGTGGAGACCATAAAGCGAATATCTGAAAAGACAATGCAAATGGTACGAAACACGCAAACGATAGTTGACTCAATAGATAAAGTACAATCCAGGCAAGATCATAACAGAGTACTAATTATACAACATCATAGTGCTTATTCTAAGAATATTAATAACTAAACAATTATTAGAATATCGTTAAGAAATGAAAAAGCAATATACAACCTTCATATATTGCAGACCAAGCTCTTTTGCTCCAATATGTGCATCCATTTCAAACAATTCATAGAACTTGCCCATCTGTTCAAACAAAACAATAATGATCAATTTCTTCTGATTAAAAAAATAAGGAAGACTATACAATAGGACTTCCGAAATGAAAAAATAATAATGATATGCACCTTAAACAACAAAACCTTATCCATATGCTTTGATTTGAACTCCCACCATTGCCTCTGATCAGCCAAAGATGTCAAACAAGTAAAAAACAACGGAATGATCGAACTCAACTAGTTTCTATGACAGAAAATTTCTACCTGACAACCTGACAAACTCTTCAAGAAGTCACTAGGTAAGAAGAGTGTTCTCTGATCATAGTCCGCATCTTCAGGACGCTTCCCTCGAGCATCTTTACGTCCCCTGTGACTATATAGAAACTAGTAAAGATCATCTAACAAATATTCATTTGAAGAAACTATAAGTCTCACGTCTACATGACAAGACTTATTGTACATATATATTCATATATTGAATATCATACTATTTGCACTTGACAAACTCACTGAGCATGGAAAATAGCCTCTAAATAACACTTTCTTTTAAATGATATGCATGCTATCGGAATTAGGAATCATATTTTGATGCAAGAAACAAATGGAGGATTGTACTTCTGGTGCAGTGGAATAGGTGTTCAAAGAAACAATCGAGAACCCAAATTGATAAAATACTAATTATAACTTTTCTTCCAAAATATTATTCAGATTGTTTTTCCTAGATACACCTCAAAGCCTTAAATAGAATACATAATACAAAGAATAGGAAATGAAATTAGGAAACTTAGAATAGAAAACATGAAATTAGGAAACTTAGAAAATAGGAAACTAATAATAAGAATAGAAAACTTGTTTTTATTAAACGTGTGCTGCATCAATCTCCTCTTGAAGAAAACTCGTCCTCGAGTTTCGTTGTTGTAGAGAAAACTCATCTGGTGGAAAGTACTCAAAGATATCCGCAACGTTGAAGGTGTTGGAGATGTTCATTTCAGTTGGAAGATCAACTTTGTAAGCATTATCACTAATCTTCTGGAGAATATGGAAAAGACCAATTTTCTTGTCCTTAAGTTTATTGTAGGTGCTGATTGGAAATCGATGCTTATGTAAATGGACAATTACCAAGTCCCCTCATTAAAAATCTTCTCACGCATATGTTGTCTGTTGCGGATTTGTACCGAGAATTAGCCTCCTCGAGATTTTTCTTTACTTTATTATGAATCCGTTGAACACGCTCCACAAACTCCAGAGCATCATAAATAACATCGGCAGAGGGAGGAAGATGAATCAAATCCATAGTATGCCTCAAAGCACTAGTGTAGACAAGTTCAAAAGGTTTTTTTTGGTAGAACGGTTAGGCACACTATTGAAAGGAAACTCAATCTGTGGAAGGGAAGCATCCCATTATTTCAGTTTGTCACCACACACAGCCCGAATCATGTTGCCAAAAGTACGATTAGTCACTTCCGTTTGCCCATTTGTCTGTGGATGGCTCGTACTACTATACTTCAAGGAAGTGTCGAACAACTTCCACAATATCCTCCAAAAATAACTTAGGAATTTTACATCCCTATCAGAAGTTATGGAACGAGGAACACCATGCAGACGAACAACTTCATGAAAAAACAAATAAGCCACATAAGATGCATCAGAGGCTTGCTTATAAGGAAGAAAGTAAACCATTTTAGAAAATCTATTAACTACGACAAAAACAGAATTAGCTCCACGTTGAGTTCTTGGAAGACCAAGAACAAAGTTCATCGTCAAATCTTGCCAAATTATCTCTGAAATAGGCAAAGGAGTATAGAGGCTAGTATTTTGAGTTTGACCTTTAGCCTTTTGGCATACAAGACAACGCTAAACGAAACGCCCAGCATCTCTCTTCAATTGAGGCCAATAAAATCGCTCCTCTACCAAAGCTAATTGTCTTGTCTCGGCCAACATGTCCACCTAATCCTCCAGCGTGCAATTCTCGAATCAAGTATTCACGCAAAGAAGATCGATGAATGCAGAGTTGTGTACCTCTAAACAAGAACTCATCTTGAATGAAGAAGTCAATAATAAATTCCTTGTTGATGCATTTTACCCATATATCGCCAAAGTCGCCATCACCAGCATAAGTATTTTTAAAGAATCAAAACACATCACCTATGTACTAATCGTAGCTAGTAAAGAGGCTCGCCGACTTAAGGCATCTGCTACCCTGTTAGATTGACCGGATCTATGCTTGATGACATAGTTGAACTTCTGTAAAAAAGTTATCCATCGAGCATGCATTCAATTTGTCTTTTTTTTTTAAGTTGATATACTTTAAAGCTTGATGATTTGTAAACAGTACGAACTCCCGTTGAATCAAATAGTGCTCCCAATGTTTTAAAGCTCGAATAGCGGCATAAAATTCGAGCTCGTAAGTAGTCCGCTTTTGTCGAGGCTCTGCAATCTTCTCACCAAAAAAACTCCACTAGGCGTCCTTCTTGTGTTAGAACCGCACCAATTCCCAGAACCGATGCATCACATTCAACCTTAAACCCCTTCTCGAAACTAGGAAGCGCCAACATAGGAGCAGAACACAACTTCTCTTTGATTACGTCAAAACTTCTTTTCTGCGTCCTTCCCCATTGAAACTGTTCTTTTTTCAAGCAATCGGTAATGGGTGTCATGATAATACTAAAACCTCGAATAAAACGCCTTTAAAGAGTAGCTAAACCATGGAAGCTTTGTACTTCACGCACAGTTCGCGGAGTTGGCCATTCTCGAATTGCCTTCACCTTGCCCTCATCAACCTGAATTCCATCTCTTCCTACTATAAAGCCAAGAAATAGAAGCTGGTTAGTCATGAAAGTGCACTTTTTAAGATTGATATACAATTTATGAGCTTGTAGCACTAGAAGAACCTCCCTGAGATGTGTCAAATGCTCATCATCTCGGCTATAAATAAGAATATCATCAAAACAAACGACCACAAATTTCCCAATGAATGTACTAAGAAACTGATTCATCAAATACATGAAAGTACTAGGTGCGTTAGATAACCCAAATGGCATCACCAACCATTCATAGAGGTCATCCTTAGTCTTAAAGGTTGTCTTCCACTCATCTCCAGGCCGAATACGGATTTGATAGTAGCCATTGCGCAAATCAAGTTTAGTGAGCACTACAGCTCCCTCCAATCTGTCAAGCATATCATTAAGTCGTGGAATAGAAAATCGATACTTGACAGTAGTTTTATTGATGGCACGACTGTCAACGCACATCCTCTAACTTCCATCTTTCTTCGGGGTAAGCAAGGCAGGGACTGCACAAGTACTCATACTCTCCCTAATCAAACCTTTATCAAGCAACTCATTAACTTGCCTTTGTAATTCTTCATATTCAATTGGGCTCATGCGATAATGTGGCAAATTGGGTAAGCTAGCTCCAGGTACTAGATCAATATGATGTTGAATGTTTCTCGTGGGAGGCAACTCGTTAGGCAATTCAGTAGGAGATAAATCAGGAAAATCAGATAGTACCTTTGAGCTAGAGGAGGGTTCAACAATAGTCTCAGATTGACCTTTAACCACCAATGCTATCACAAAACCCGGTTCGAAGGCTAAACCCATTATGTTGGTGAATATCGGCTTGTCTTCCTTAGTAGCTAAATTGTTGTCAGACGAGTGAGATTGTGGCATCAAAACAATTTTCTTATCAAACCACCAAAAGACAAAAGTATTATCATGACCCTTATAAGTAGCATGTACATCGTAGTGTCACGGTCTTCCTAAGAGCACATGACAAGCATCCATATCCACTACATCACATAAAATTTCATCTTTGTAATATTTGCCAATCGATTAAGGAACCTTGCAAACTTCTAGAACTTGAACTTCAAGGCCCTTCTTAATTCATACAATTTTGAAAGACGAGGGATGCTTCTCAGTTTTCAAATTGAGTGTCTTTACCAAAGCCTTGGAGACCACATTCTCGCTACTGCCATTGTCAATAATCATATTGCATACTTTATTTCTAATAGTGCATCGGGTTCGGAATATCTTCTGGTGTTGTGAATCATCTTGCACCTTTGGGGCTAGCAAAATACGTTGAACAATACAAGCTACCTCTTCTCCTTCGTCTCCCATTTCAATCTCAGCACCTTCATAAATATCTTCTTCAAGCACATACTCCTCGTCACCATCATCCTATCCCACATAATTGACCGTTCATCTGTTCGGGCAATTATTTGAAAGATGACCGGGTTGGTTGCATCAAAAACATTTTCCAAGAGTAAGGCGCGAATAAGGGTCATTAGTGGTTCGTTGTGGCTGCTGATTTCGACATTGAGTATTAGGTCCAATAGGGATTGAAGTTCTTCCTCGATTCTGCATCGAATCTTGAGTAGAAGGGGCATCTTTATTGTTGTTTTCATTGCTGCCCGAAGATGTAGACCCTCTTGGAGAAAAAAAAGCTTCTTGAGTTGGTCGTCAAAAATTACTCGGAGTGCGCACAGTGGACCTGTTGATTTGATTTTCCACTTTCATCGCCAAATTAGCTGCGTCAGTCATAGTCCAGACTCCTTGAAGAGCTAAACAGTCTTGAATAGTCAATTTTAAACCTCCAATATAACGAGTGATTAATTGATCTTCCGTCTCTGACAAATTGACTCGAGCCTTTAATCGATAAAATTCCTCTGTGTACTCATTCACCGTGCGATTGGTTTGACGACAATTTTGGTATTGTTGGTATAGGAAATGTTCATAATCGGGGGGAAGAAAACGTTGTTGAAGTAACATCTTCATCTTAGGCCAAGTATAAACACGTTGTTTCTCTTGTCGTTGACGGTTATATTTAAGTTGTTCCCACCAAGAAGAAGCTCAATCTTTCAACTTGTAGGCTACAAGTTTCACTTGTCGGTCTTCCGGAATCTCTAAATAATCAAAAAAATTCTTGACGCTATGAATCCAATCGAGAAAATCTTCAATGTGTAAGCGCCCATCAAAGCATGCAAGTCCATATTTATTTTAAATTGTTGGCTATTTTGACCCCAATTCATAGCCTAGTCAAATTAGAAACCATCTTCTTTCCCGGACGAATAATCCAACTCTTGTTGCTGCCAACGAGGAGGATTCCTCCATTGTGGTTGGCAAAAAGCAACCCCACCTCGAAAAGGAGGAAAAATCTCATCTTGCTCACTAAAGTCTCTCACAGCCACTCGTTGAAATCTATCACCACTGCCCAGATCGGCTCCAATTTGGGGTCGCCGGGGGACAACCACACCCCCCAAGGGCCAACGTGGGTTACTCAGGCCTGGGTTGTTGAGATTTTGGACCCTAGGATTCCACGCATCCAGATTTGCTCGCTCGGGGTTCTGTCGGCCGCCAATCACTTTGTCGTCATCGCCACCGGGGTTGCCATTCCCCGGCCGGTCCCCTACTTGATCTGGTAGCCTCTCCCTTCTTTCATGTCTCGCTTCGGCAGCCAACGCAACCATCATCTACGTCAGATTGCGAAGTATTTTAGCAAAGTCATCGAGTCGTTGTTCGACTCTTTCGAGTCACCGTTCGTCGTCGGCGGGTTGTTTCCCACTAGAACCGACCTCAGCCATCAGGTCCAGGTGAAAATCCAGACTCTAATACCAATTTGGTGTAGCGGAATAGGTGTTTCAAAGAAACAATCGAGAACCCAAATTGATAAAAAACTAATTATAAATTTTCTTCCAAAATATTATTCAGATTGTTTTTCCTAGATACAAGTCAAAGCCTTAAATAGAATACATAATGCAAAGAATAGGAAACGAACTAAGAATAGAAAATAAAATTAGAAAACTTAGAATAGGAAACATGAAATTAGGAAACTTAGAAAATAATTCCAGAAAATAGGAAACTAATAATAAGAATGGAAAACTTGTTTTATTAAACGTGTGCTGCATCAACTTCTTCCCTAGGTGAGGTTTTTGTCTTTTTTCCTTTTATTTTTCTCCCTCTTTCTAGGGAGATAGCAAGGCAATCAATAAGAGCATAAATACATGCATGCATAATATATGGGTATACTAGACAAGAGTTGTCTCCTCATTTAGCGATATGAGCCACCAAGAGACGATGGTGAGATCCACACACTCCGTTGTGACTAGAATGTCAGGCCTCATCATTAGTCTATCTCTTGATACCTCGTTAGTAAATGGATTACCACCACATACTCATTTTCCTTTATACATGTACTTCTATGATTTATGCATACATATATGTCCATATACATAACCATATGTGCATATATACAATGAGTATATGGTGGTAGCCATTTTACTAATGATGTACCTAGAGATGGACTAGTGATGAGCCCTAACATGGTAGTCACATCAGAGCTAGTGGATCTCACCACTTTGCCTCTTGATGGCTCATTTCTCTACCAGATCTTATGTGTATACTAGATATGAGTTGCCACCTCATATAGCAAAATGAGCCACCAACGAGACAAAGTATCTAGATCCACGATGTGACTAGCAAGTTAGGCCTCATCTCGAGGATCTCCTGGTACCTCATAAGTAAAAAGGGCTACCACCACATACTCATTTTCTCTATACACGCGCGCACACATAGATACATATACATCTATGATTTATACATGCATATGGGTGTGTTATATATGTATGCACACATGCGTGTGCGCGTACACATATGCACATAGATATGTATATCAATAGAGACAGATATGTATATAGGCATATAAATATATACAGGTATACACATATGCATATAGATATGTATATCAATAGAGACAGATATGTATATAGGCATATAATATATACAGGTATAAATGTACTGACTTGAAGGTTGGAAGTATTAGATATATATAATTCAAAAATAGCCACATATGATGACATAATATGATAACTTAAAATCCCCTTAAAATGTAAATAACTTGCAAACTTGAGTTGTAAGCACTTTTGCATCTGCATGAATATAAATAATATTGGAACATGGTACAAATCATATCAGACCAGAATGGATCTCAAAAGGGTGTTATGCGCAACTCATTTTAGGAGGCTCAGGTTCTCAGCCTTTTCAATACATACTATTGGATAGCTGAGATTGTATGCCTTCTTGCAAGCAGAAAGATACTCTCACATCAAAGTGTTCAAAACTTCAAATACAACTTGTACTCCATCACATCAACATCATTTTTAAACAAACTTTTCTGCATCAAAAAGTATGATACAAACAGATTAGGCATGATGATTTATCCCACATAATGCAACTTGCACCTTTTAAGTTACACAACACTGACAATGACACCAACTGTTAGGCTTCACTTGGACACAAGAGATAGGGAAGTTAGCTCCTACTTTTCTTGGAATGGGAGTAAAGTGGAAGTTCATGTCCCATCTGGTGTTAAGCTAATCTCAAAAACCCTATACTAATAAAACTATATTTTGCTAGTTTTACAACCTTAGAGGTAAAGAACACATGATCCAAATAACTGTTTTGTCTTCACTTGTATATTTATTTAATATATCCATACATCATCACAAGTTGATGGTTTAGAAAGTTTCCCGCAAGCACCCACACGATATTATTAAATTACATTATAGCAATCACATGCAGCAAACTCAAGGAAAATGAGAAGTGAAGATGTTTGTCTGATGCATGTCCACTCACCCTTGAAGAAACCTAAATTTTTCTGCCTCACGTTTCGCAAACCGCTCAGCTGCATCATCAGTTGAGTTGCTGCCAAAATTGTTTACCTGTTGGCCACCTGCATTACCTATTTGTAAAGTGCATTTATTTAGTTCCTTCATATGAAAATACACTGAAATATACATCATAATCTTAAAAGAGAAAAATGAGTATGATTGGTACCAAGCACCAATTTTGTGCTTGATAGTGACATGTCTCATTCCTATCCACTCATTCAAATGGGGGGGGGG